GGGGGAGGGGAGGGACCACTGCGGGGGGCGGGGGGAGCTGCCCTGCAGGACATCCCGACAGAAGACAGCACCTAAAGCCACACAGGGCAGCAGCATCTGGGGCATCTGGCCAGAGTCTGGGAGGTTCCGCAGCATCATCCAGGCATGAGAAAGACAGGCTGGAGCTGTGCTGAAGGGGCGGGGCATAGAGTTCCAGGCGAGAAACCAAGAGCAGAACCTGACCCTCGGACAGGGTCAAAGAGCAGCCTGGCAGGGTACAGGGAGGGAACATCTCCATGCAGCATGGGCCCCACTGTCCGTCCTCTGAAATCCTACCAAAGGTCGGGAAGACTCAAGTCCAGGCAGAGCACCTTATTAGGTTCGGGTCCAGCACAAGGCACTTGATGTAAAGGCTATTCTGTGGGTGTGCGGGAGGGGGGGGGTCAGTGACCTCTCCCTGAGTCAGATTGGTGCCTGGGGACAGGTGAGCCTGCAGGTAGATAGCAAGCGGTACACCCACAGGGGCTGGTGGGATGCAGGGATGGGACGCAGGAGTGTGCGGGATGCAGGGGTGTGGTTTCCTCAGCATCCCCAGCACCTCCCAGCCTTGATCTGTGGGAGGAGAGGAAGGGAGGGGGAGCACTAGTTGGCCCATGTGTGTGGGGCACTTTGTGTGTGCTGTGCCGCCTGATCTTTCAAACAGCGGGGAGACCGGCATTCTACTTCTATTTCACAGTGAACGTCCCTCGGCCCCAGCACAGCAAAGCCTCCCGACCCGGAGGCTGCTTCATCGTGGGCTTCTTTGGTCCTGGAGTCCGTGTCTGTGGACTGCTGGTCACTGGGCCGCGGGCAGCTCTGTGCCTTCAGAAGCCTCCCGCTTGGCCTTGAATGTGTGTTGCAAATAAATCCGTGAAGACCAACCCGTGGGGGCTTTTAGTGTGTGTTTGGTGGGGCTGGAGATGGGGCATCAGTCTTTTACTAAATGTCTATTTCTATGAGCGATTCTCTTTATTTCCCTCCTTTTGTTTACAGTCACCCACAAAACCTGCTTCCTGGTATTTTTATTGTGTTTTTTATGATTCTTTATGGATTCTTGGCTATGAAAAGTAAACGTGTAGATCATCATGAAAAAAAGAAAACTGGTTACATTTTTCTGGAGGAAGACCCCCCGGCTGACCACCAGCTGTACGCGGTCGTCATCGACACAGGCTTCCGGTCCCTGGCCCGGTTGTCCTCAAAGGTAACACAGGTGGTGTCTAAAAGGTGTCCAAGGGTGTGAGGGTGGCCCCAGAAGCTATCTGTCACTGGTCACTGTCTCGGCTGCCCTGTCTTGTTCCTGGGCTGAGGCCACCTGCCCTTCCCATTGTCCCTGCGATGTGCATCTGTAAGGGCAGGAAGTCGCCGTCACCTTCTCTGTCTGCAGCTCAGTCCCTCTCCTCTTCCGTCTTCTCTGTGGAAGGCAGCCAGAGAGACTTTTC